CAGTGCTACAGGCTTCCGCCATTTCCTACAGTGGGAGGGCGTGGCTGGAAGCCCTGTGGGACACAACAATACCTTTCGAGTCTTGTGGGATTCCACTCCTGTTCAATGACTTTGAACCACACAAACATTGAACCAAAAGTACAGCATAACCTCCTCTAGTTGGTGCAATTTGTCTGCGGCTCAGTCTATATCCACACTTCTGTCCATCCAATCTTAATCATATCGAGATTGTTGGTAGAACTGCGGTCAGGTCGTTGGTCAACCCTCTTGTACAAACGTTGAAATTGATCTACCTTCCTCTGGGTTGGAAGGCGTGGAACGACATCGGGGTCGGGTGATTCATCTGGAGTATCGGGAAGGCGAAAAGGTGGACACGAGTCTCTTCGTGGTTGGCAAGGGCATCACCTTTGACACGGGTGGCAGCGACGTCAAGGCCGGTGGTTTGATGGCGGGGATGCATCGGGACAAGTGTGGTGCTGCGGCGGTGGCCGGCTTTCTGCGCACCCTTGCCCTCCTTCGTCCTGCTGGCCTCCGCGTAGTCGCCCATCTGGCTTTTGTGCGCAACGCCCTCGGATCCAATGCCTATGTAGCTGATGAGATTATCACTTCGCGCGCCGGTAAACGCGTCCGCATCGGCAACACCGACGCCGAGGGCCGTATGGTCATGTCCGATCTCCTCTGTCTCGCCAAGGAAGAGGTCGGTTCTCTTATTCCCTTCCCTCTCTCAACTCCACGGACATAATGTCCGGATCGATCTCTTCCGTCAAGCCAGGTGGTCAAAGTTGACGAGATTAGTTGCGTATTTAATTCAAAGAAGTCGTAACGCCTTTGGCCCAAGCCATGTTTCATGAACTGTGGTGTGAATTTCCACGTGTAGAATTATTTATGTGAGCATTGATGGAACGAAACCCCCAGCTCTATCTCTTTTGTTCGTTTATGCCTTTTAAGCCCTCAGATTCAAGTGTCTCTGCGCTTCGCGTGATAAGCAAAATAGGACGTCTTTTCGACACGTATACTTGTATGTTTAGGCTCTAAGTGCCGTGAATCCGTTCCTCTTCACCGTGGCGACTCTTACGGGCCATGTCATTCGCGCATACAAATTCTACACGGTAAGCCCAATTTTGTGTCATCTGCCTTCTTGACAATGAGAGTCGTCGGACTTTATGGTCCAAATGCTGTCTAGGCCGTCATGGACAACGGACCCGCTCGTAAGTTCGACATGGCGCACAAACTTCAAAAGGCTGGCGAACGCATATCCGACATGGCAGAGGTGAAGCAAGAATGTGTCTTTTTGTGAATGATTGTGTGTGGCAAGTGTTTAGCGCGAGTTCTTCGTGTGCCTAGGTGTCGACTGTGCGCAGGGAGGACTTTGAAATGAACAAGGGTCACACAGAGTATGAGGATCTGCTGCAATGCAACAACCTGCCCAGCAGCGCGACACCTCGTGGTCATCAGTTTCCCGCAGCCTTCATGATCTTGGCCAGCGGACTCGAGAAGGTCAGCTTGCCTCTTTTCCCGCCCTGCCCACCTCTGCAGATATAGGAACCTGCTATCCATTAGTGAGGTGTTGAACTAGGTTCACAACTATGTTTTTCAACCAAGTAAAAAGAACGAAATAAAATTTGCCACTTGGAAGACGAATCAGGACGATGCCACCTTTGTACTTGCACAGAGTCGAAATTGCTTCTTATCTTCTCTCCATCTAACAATGGAGTCGGCCGAGTGGCAGCTGGCAATAGGGCGGTTAAAGTTCGACACACGTTGTGACAAATCTGCCACTCCTAAATATCAAATGCTTTAAAAATATCTCTCCTCTGTACACCAAGTCATCAAACGTTTATATAGTCGGGCAGCAACATATCGTGGCAGATGACTTGCAATGTCGTTGGCACTGGAATGAAGAATTTATGATATGGTTGAAGGAACCTCCTCCGATCCGTGGAAGCTGCTTACATCACATCAGATGAAGCGGTCGGTTGTGTGTTTTGGAGATGCTAAATAGTTAAGGAGGAACTTGTCCAAGTGCAAGTCAATTTTGTTGGGCACACTCAACGACACTGAGGCTTGTTTCTAACCCCACGGACTGAGGAGAATCTGTCCCACGTAACACGTTGCCCAAGTGACTACTGGTACCTTCAATTGTCAATTCTTCCGATACCACCGTGGCGGATTTTTCTCCTCACCTACACTCCGAGTGTTATGGGCCTGTTCACAATAGCATGCACAGGCTCATTTGACCGGACTTACCATACGCCAATCGGAGGTGCAATGATGAGGTCACTTCTCCAGACAACAGCCCGGTAGCTGATGTCGGGCCAGTTACCTACACCAGTTATCCACTTCCAAAGCAACGTGCGCTAGGTTCTGTTGTGCGGTGTTGGATTGTCCGATTTTGGGTCGACTGCTCTCATTGTTTCGCATTATTACAAACGAGTACTTCCATTGCCCATTTCATCACATTTCCTTAGTCATTGTGTCCTGGTAACTGCAGCAGAATTCCACTTCTGCACATGGGACTTGCCGGCCTGCCGATTGATGAGGTCCACTCTCCTTTTCTATAGGCCGCATTTTCGGTCGCAACCGTTGGGCTGGCTCAAGAATTCCCTTCTCTAAGTGTCACAGTACTGCACCGAGAGCCTTCAATGTGTAGCCGAAAGGGAGTTCGTGACATTCTAACTCATCGCCTCATATTTGAGCCCTCTTGGGGCATGCATTTGACGACTATATTGCTTGTGAATGAACGCGGCAGTGCTGAACAGCATAGCCGCCGTTCCCCTAATTAGTGCTGCTAAACGCATTAATCGCTTGTTTGCTTTGCTACCGATTTTAGCATGGACTAGGCTGCGAGAAGCAACTGCCCTATACCCACATGGACGTTGCCGGTAGTGCTGGACTAATCGACACTCTGCCCACCGCGGCGCCTCTCATGATGCTCACCAGCATGTTTGTCCTGCCTCGAGTGTGGAATGTGGTCAATTAAATGTGTTGAACTTTCCTCTCCCCATCAAAGCCTCTGGTTTGTGCCATCTTTTTCCTCTTTCGATCCCGGGTTCGAGTTGCGGTGATGTGTCCTGGCAGTTCAGGCTCTTTCACTTCCCCCCACTAGATGGATATATTTTGCTAGGCTACGGTTTATCCTTCGCCTTAGTCATTCCACTGTTATGTGAAGCGTGAAGGAGGGTTGATTGAATTTAATATGGTAGGTTCCTTGCAGGAAATTGTCTCGAGGAAACTGCACCCAATTTGTCTGCTCGTATGAGGTGCTTTGCCTATACTGATGCAGTAGAGATTTTGTGAATGGAATGGCTCTCTTTTAGTTTTCTTAGTCATTTTAAAAAATGTGAAAACACCACAATTTCGGGCAACGAATAATGGACTTGTACGACGTGGAATAGGCACCCTGGAATTTTGTCCTTTGTTTTTGATTTCTTAATTGCTGTCCGCAGGTTGTCAAGGTGGGAGACTTAAAGCTAAGTTGCATCAAATGAAACCCAAGCAAACTGGCCGTCACTATGATTTGATTTTCAAAGACAATTCCTCAGTAGATGGAAAAGGTACTACAATCTCCCAAAAGTATGTGAATTTTGGCAATTTGATGTCCCAGTGTTTTGGTAAGTTACAAAAAGAGCTGCTCCAAAATAGTCGAAGAATTTGGGCAATTACGTGGATTGTAGTTGGATTCTGGTGGTCGTGGAAAGGGCGCCTTCGGTTAAAACCTTTGCCCATGCGGAATAGTTTGAACCTGTACATCTCTGTCGTTCTCGAAAGGTTTTTTTGGAATCGGCTCTGTCCATTTGGCTTGTGTCACAGGTGAGGGCTGTAGTGGCGCCCTACCGCCATCGCTCACTTTGCATCACCTTGTTTAGCCTCATTTCAAATTTTATTATGGAATGCCTATGGCTTGCAAACAATAAGGATGTCTTCCTCAAAGACCATAGCAATTGCTAAACGCATAGGCACTGCACAGCTTACATTATTCGCATTATTTTGCGATGGGTAGAAGTCAGCACTTCACTACAAAAAAAATCCGAAGATGGGAGCAGACTTCCAGGTTTTTGGTTAAATTTGTACTTTCGAAAGCTTAAACTTTAAAGAAAAGAATGGGTATGAGATGAAAGCCTGATCGCGGAGGTCAGCAACTTTTATTTATATTAGAGTGGGAAGCCTTAAGAGGAGCGGCTCTGTTCAAAAGAAGTTGCTTTGCAATATGATGTGTGGAGATCGTCAATCGGCGTGCGTATTCGTTTCTCTATAATTAATGTCTCGACTCCAATGTAGTTCAGTCTATATCAGGCACCAAGTATTCTCGTAATATTATCGTTGAATGACATAGTGGCTGCGGCTCAAAGGAACTGTTTTCCAAAGCTTCAGACTTGTGCATGAATAATGGCTGGTCCAGCGCCTGGGCTCCTCACCTCCAACCTAGCGATGTCTTCGTCGCTGGTGCCATAGTCATCATCGTCCTCAACGATCTTAGGCTGTGGAACAAGAGGATGGGAGAGGACGCCTAGTGCGTAGTTCACAATGATGCTTAAGAAGATGTACATCAGGATCTTCGACAGGATTGACCTTGAAGAAGGTGCAAAGCATACCCAGAAAGCAGTTATGAAATTGAAAAAGAGAAAGGTGAGAGAATACCCAATGGAAGAGGGATAAACGGTAGAAGCACCACGTACGTCCGAGTGTCTTTGATGAGATTTACTAAATCGACTTGCCTAGTTTATTTTCTTGGCACTTGGGTTATTTACTACTGTACTTGAGAACTAAACGGGTATGCCGTTTAATGCTGTGCCACCTCCACTGGCAGGTAGTGCACGTCAGTTGCAGCATTCAAAAGAAACACAAATTACTCCGTAGTTGAAACTTTTACTCAAGATGGGGATGTAGTTGGTTAAGCATACGGGTTGCCGATTCCAAACGCATGCCATTATTAGATTCACGCATGGGCATTGATAATTATAGCAGAAGCGAGTCCTGGACGCTGGAGAGTTACGACATTGCCAATGGCTTCGTAAATACCTCAAGAAGCATAGTTTAGTAATGTGACGACTTTATAGTACTCTTTAGAAAATAGAAAAAA